AAATTCGATGGGTCATATATGGCTATGGCAAGCATGACTGTAGCATAATCAGTCAGACATATTTGTCCTAGTTGTAAATGAACAAGGTCTAGCCTCACGTGTGTTTTTGCTTGAGTTTCTTTACTCGGGTTAACTTGGTGACACTCAGAATAGGGGGGAAAAAAGGGAAAAAAAAAATCTCATGTAATACTTTCAGAATTAGGCTCATAATAATCCACGTAAGATGTTTAAAACAATCCAGCAGTTAGTAGTTGCAAACCTGAGAGTATGAGGAAAGTCTTTACTGTTGCAGGACTTCTGACTTTGCTGTATTTTCTTTGCAGGGCCTCGGTATGTCTGGTGGAAGTCAGGCTGGCTTGGGGACTCCTTCATCCAGGCAGTATGCACGACAGAAAATAACTCGTGTAAACCTCAGGGACTTCATCTTCTACATGGAACAGGAAAGAGAAACGAGCCATTCTCTCCTGCTCTATCGTGCTCTGCTTAAATAAAGCCAAGAATTGTACTGATTTCTCCATACAGAAGCTCAACTTGCATTGAAAAGCTGTCATTTTAATGTGCCTTCTATTTTTTTCAGAAGTCAATGTTCCAGTAATTTTGTTTTGTAAAGTTGTCAGACACATGCAATAAATTCCCTTCATGTAAAAAAAAAAAAATTACAAAAAACACAAAAAAGAAATGTGCAAAAGGTTTTAAAATGTGAAATCCAACATCAGTCTTGCTCCATTTGGCCGTTTAGGTGAGGCTGAAGTAGATGGCGTTGAAGTTACGCAAACGGAAAGGCTGCTGCGACGACTCCTAAACCATCTTACGGCAGGAGGAGTGGCACAGGCTCACAGGATTGGGACCGAACCGTGGTGTTAACCTGCCTGTTCACTTACGGTGCTGGTTTTGGTTTCTTTTTAGTTTCCCTAGCACCATTTCCGCTGACTAGCCACGGTGATGACACCTGTTGTTATTTTACATTAGTTCTAATTGCAATTTTTTGCACAGCTAAGAGAATAGCCACTGCATGCTCTCACGAATTTTATATATTTAGGATTTTTGCTTTTACTGCACAGCTCATTTCCTGAGCCATTTGCTGAACCAAATCCTAAGTGTATGAAATCTGTGCGTTCAGGTCCCAGCTGAGTTATTTTGACTAACTTTCAGTTGTTTTCTAAATCTCTTCAACCTTTTGCACGTTTGTAGCAGCTGGTTAGTAACACGAATCAAAAGTTGGGTTTTATTTTCTAAAAAATATCTTAATTTATTTATTGCAAAGAGTATGGTTTAATGGTGGTTTTAAGAGAGAGTATTGTTCAGTAAAGATTTTAGAGTATCCTATATGGATTTTTAAAGTCACCATAAAGGAAGTTTTTGGGAGCCGGTTCCACTCTTAGGGGATCACGAGCGCGGGGGCGAGTCCCACAGGGACTGGTGACGCCTTTGCCGTGGACGATTGGACCCGAGGACTCCAGTCCAGAGAGGCTCATGAAGAAGCGCATGACTTTAAGCATAATGAGTAGTTTTAAGTACTTACAGGTGGGATGAATGCTTTTTAAATGCTTTGCTGAATTGGAATTTAGGGGGCCCACACCAAAGCCAAGCGAAGTCAGTGTGAGCCTTTTAAATGGGTATCGGACGGGAATACTAAGCAGGCAGGTGGGCACAAGCTGTTGTACTTCAAATGTAACAGTATTATCAGTAACCATGGAAGGGAGACATTTGCTTATTTATCTTTTCAATTTTTACTATGTTATGCTTGCCACTTTTTTGAGGCAATATTTTTTTTTTGATGGGGAAACCATAGCAAAAGCACAAATAGAACTATTTGTCCAATAGTTTTAAAAACAAAAGTTTTAATTATTTTTTAAGGTTTATGAAAAGCAGAAGAAAATTTATACTGCTGCTATTTAGCCAAAAGATTATTCATAAGGTATTTAAGGCCAGGAAGTGTAAAATTATGTTTTAAATGTATTGATAATTTGTACATATTGTTTATAAAGGCCTTGTGTTTATTAGAATTACGTTATTTTGATGATTTCTGTACATACTCGTAAATACCCCCAATTTGTGTGAAAACATACTCCCTTATTTGTACTTATTTTGTAAAGAAATAAAAGTTTACTAAAGTAACACATCAAGTGACGTACAGTATTAATTTATCAAACATGAATTTCACATTGTCTTGTAGTGCTTAAGCACTGTTCAGAAACATTTTGCATTAAAATATTAACAGAATACCCACAAAGAAATATTAAAACCAAATACTTCAATGTTTTGTTGTGCTGACTCTTATCCTTTGTCAAACATCTAATAAAATTGTCAACAAACCTCGATGCTATTAATACAGTGAATGAATGCACTCAGCAGTTGCTTTCTCAAAAGCCATTAGCCCAATAAGCACAACATAACATTCTCTCGTTCCCTTTCCTTCCGACACGTGGGAGCACAGTGGTGTAACAGGGTTGTACAGAAAGTGCTAGTGAGGGCTCGTGCTCATTGAGCCGCAGTTCCAGTGCTCAGCAACACAGACTCCCGCAACTTTGTTCAATGGAATTAGGCGAAAAAACAGGCTACGTTTGCTTTTTGGCCTTCATGATAAAAACATCTGCTGGCTGCGCACCACAGCTTTACTGGAGCTTCTGTAGTATTTCAAAACGTGGTTTAGTGATGCTGAGCAATGTTCTTTATTAACTTACGTTGCTATGGTTTAAGGCCAGAAGTAAAAATTCAAATCAGTTTTTGCTGATATTGCTGCCTAAAAATACAGGGAAATAAGTAAAAAAGATACAAATGAAACTGTAATAAACTTTAAATAAGTGACCTGAAGTTACTAACTAAAAGAACATGTCCTAGCTTAACGTTTTTTTTTTTTTTGAAGGCATATTTCTTCTAACAGAGTGATTGTTTCCACATGTCTTCCTTGCCTTAGTGCTATTTTGCAGTCAATGTTGTGATGTCATGGCTCAAACTTTCCATCTCAAGTTCACATCTAGCTCGGCTGGCGCAGCCTGTTTTTGGAAAGCCGTTACGATGCCACCGTAGCGAGCTGCCCTCAGTACTGGAGCTGCTTCTGGAGCTATTAAAAAATACAGTGAGCACCAAACTGAAAAAACCCAAACCAACCGACCACAAATACTTCCAGTGGCGTCTACGTACATCTGAAAAAGCATCATCCCGCTTCCAGGCTGGCGAGAGCTGCCTGCCTGTGCTGCCGGTGGGAGCAGGACGCGCTCGGCGGGTGCTCAGCGTCCGGTCCCGCTGCGGACAGCCCCACCGACCCCGCGCAGGCCTGGCCCGAGCGCCAGTGCCAGCACCAGCCCGGCATTTCCGCGCGAACGCGCCACGTTCGCCTTCCGCCCCGGCTGAGAGGTAACGAGCGGAGAGGCTGCGCCGACAGACGCGCTCGGCCGCTGCGAGTGCCAACTCCTGTTCCAGAGGGCGGGACAAAGTGTATATAGGATAAAAACACAAAGCTGAATGGATTATTTAAGGATACTTCCAACTTAAAAGTGAACTCAATGTATGAAAGTAATAAATAAAACACTTTTTTTTTTTTCTCCTTTTTGTAAGACGTGGCTACATCAAGCTGAATGGAGCAAAAGGCCGGAGGAGATGCAGTCCAAAGTTCTCACCTGTTTCAAACAACATGGGAGATACAGTGAGTGTTCCACCCTACTTGCTTATTTTTGATCCTTTACTTTACAGAAATGTTTATGGCATGAAGTACTGTATAAGAAATGTGCATACACAAATACATGACAATTATACGTTAAGTTCTTTACAATATTAAATGTATAATATACAATTCTACAGATATCTTACATACAAAGGTGAATGTTGTGCCATATATTCAAATATGGCAACGCCTAGCAATTTTCCAATGTCATACAAGTATAAAACCACAAAATAAAATAACTTTACAACTCTTTTAAAGTAGACAGATTTGCTCGACTGTTCTGCTAAGTTAGCAGGCCAATACGTATTGGCCAAGATTTCTAGAAGAGATTTCTGAGCTGAGTAACCAAGGCAAGAAAACCTGCAGAGCTCTGATTTTCCACGGACGGGTAGCCAGCCCTTTTCCAAAAATTAGACCCCTGCCTAGACTGTACCTTGACTATTCAGTACAGCTCATCTCTTCTGAAAATACTAGTCTTAAAAGTGAATTTTTTTTTTTATTTTGCCTGATGGTAATCATTTGGCATTAAAGAACTGTTGACCATTTAATACTCTGTTCCTTCTTCTACGTGGCCATATTTATGCATCTAAAAAGAGTTTAATTAAAATTCAGCATCTACAACAGTATTCTGTAAATTAATGTGGGACAAACTAAATTGTGATTAACACATGAATTAGTTATTGAGGACCCAATCATGCTAAACAGCAACAAACAGGATTTAGCAGAATGCTATTTATAACCTTGCACCTGCAAACGTGGTGCTGTCTCCTGAGTTAGGAAGCCCTGCAAGTCACAGTCAATATTGATTCATGGAAGGAGCAGTAACCTCCTGCAGACAGCAGGCTTCATTGAAGAGAAAATTACACAGGTAGAGGGCAGCTACAGAATCTGTATTTTAATAATAGTTTAAAATAATAGAGGGAAAACAATCTAAACAAAAGGTGGCCTGCCTTCATCGGACAACAGCAGTAGAGGGTTTTAACATCTTTTTGCAAAAATTCCAGACCCATAAAGAGTAGGCTTGTCCAAAATTCTGAATGTTTCCTCCTAAATGTGGGCTTATAACATGGTTAGTAAATGAGTAACAAGGGGTGGCAGAGCTTGCTTGGCAGAACCACGCTTCTTTGATGATGCAAAACTTAACAGTTTCTGAGTCAAAACAAGACTGGCTTTAAGAGAACTACAGCTCCACATTAGGTACGTGACCTCTGTGTGATGACGGATGGCATTTGTTTTGTGCTTCCAGATCCCTACTTTTGCAAATATTGCCACAATCGGCCTTGACAATTTTTTTGTCGCTTTTTTGTTTCATTTGTGTGGGTTTTTTTAATACTGAGCACCAGTTGACTATAAATCGGTCCTTTTCTGATTCTGGATTCTGTCCACAGAGAGATATTTCAGTTGGAAATGTTGTATAAAAATAAGCCATTTGCTAGCATGAGTGAGTACAATCACGGAAGTGTAACATAACGTATGGAGGTGTAAAGCACGTCTGATATGAAGGAGATGCGGCAGTCAGGGCAGATACTCAGTGCAGTTTCTAGTGTACTGTCTTCCTCTCGGAGGTGCCCACTTCCACGCGTCACAGCACCGGGGTATCGCTGGAAAGGCTGTCGCAACCGTTTCGCCTGCTCATCTATTCAAATTGCTTTAATTGGTCTTTCCACAGAAGTCCAGTCTAGGGTCGGGGTTTATGAAGCTTTGCCTTTTTCACCACCACGGCTGTTCAGCCCAAAGTATGTTCCCAGCAGGGCTGGTACGCTGAGCATGCTCAGGAATTTCATCGTGAAAAACGGACAACTGGTTTTTCAAATGCATTTCATGGCTGGCTATGTGACAGGTAGTTTCAGAATACCACTAATTGGCAACATAAAGTCAAGATCCGTTTGCTAATACTGTTTCGCAAATCCTTAGTGTTTCACATAAGGGACTATTGAACACTTCTACGGTTACAAAGGAGTACAGGTAGGGTCTAGTCCAGGGGCTCCTGTTTTATTCTGATTGTTGGGGTAGGTTGTGGTCGTCTGTCTTCGCGACACAGCACGTATTCACTGAACTGAGAGGAATCCACCCCACCACCGCATGAAGCTGCCACGTTAAATCCCTTCTGAAATAATCTTTCGAGCACCTGCAATGTGGGGAAAAAAATCAGATTAGTGTTTAGCAGATTTTAGTGATAACAACATTCAGGAGCACCAGATCTAAATGATGGATTCAGTCTTTCGAGTCCTCATTGAATGAATATTATTTAGCTATAATTCTATAACTTATTCTTAAATGACTACACTGTGATTAAAGTCTCGCTCTCAGCAAACCTCTGTAGAAAACAAAAATTAATCAAACAAATAAGCACTCTGCAGAGCAGCTTAGTATGTTATATAGTAAAACACTGGACTGCAGTGATATTGATGCCATCTCTTACTGCTTACAGGAAGCAACATTGGGTTTAAGTCGTAATAAAAAGCACCCATTATTCATTAGTAATACAAACAGTCTTAAGAGAAAGGGGCTGAAAACAGTTCTCAGCTCTTCCTTAGCAGATGAAAATGTATTAGGAGTCTGAGTGACGCTTCCACCAGACCTTCATGAAAATCGCAGCTGTGATTTTCCCTCTCTGGAAGGGAGCGCTGCTTTTAGCAAAGCATGGCAGGGACGGGATGCGGAGCCAAGACGTGGACAATGAGGAAACGTTTTGGCCCAGGAAAGAGGTTAATTTGTATTGCCCAAATAAGTATTTTCTCCTTCTCCTTCTAAAGAAAAGTTGGTGCAATTTAGATGCATGAATTTAAGGAACCCAGAGGCAACTTTAATTTCTGAGACTGTCACACAGCACATTACCCGAGGATACACTGATCTTGGCAATACGATAGGGGCCATCTTTTCACACGGGTGAGCGTGTTGATAGACGGTTTCCCAGCAGAGCAGGACACGCACAGACTTTTCTCAGCGTTGGGTGAGAGCGGATGCCAGATCCACCTTTGGCACATCTGCAACGCAGGATCCACAGGAGGAGCTGCCGTGCTCGCTCCCTGCCGCTGGCAGCTCTCCGGAGCCCAGGGCAGCAGCCTGGGAAAACGGTTCCTGTGTTTTTCTCTACTGGTAAATGCCATCAAGGGGGAGCAGCCCGTACTGTTCTGTAACAATCTCGGCCAAGGTACCACTCCCACTGCTACAGCACACGGGCCCACCGTGCTGCCGAGTGAACCTGATCATGTACTCAACCTGATGTGCGTGGTAACCCCAGCGTCCTCGCATGGCAGCCCTCTGCCACCCACGACAGGGACCAAGCTATTTAAAAACTTGTTCACTCCACCAAGGGAAGCATCTAAGCAATATAACCCACTTCAGACAGAGTCAACTTGTATGCTTTCACGGGTTTGTGTTGTAGAAAGAACTGGCTTGCTTTTTTTGGTTTTCCTAGCCCTGTGAAGCACTTCAGCAGTTAGATCTACTGCAGCAGTACTTGGAAGTCTTATGTTGCAGGGCCCAAACTGACTATGTTAAAGATCTGCACACCAGACCTCTGCCCTCGCCCTTGCGCACGGACCCACGTGAAGTCACAGTGTATTTTTCTTTTTTGAACAAACGTTGCCTTTGCTTTCTCCAGAACACCAGTTTGGAGCCTTTATTAAAGGTAACTGACTTCAAAAGGACAACTCTATCCAAGGTGGTATTGTAGTGCAATGCAAGCCATGGCAGCATTTGCTGGTTTTAATCTGTGGGAACCTGTCTTTGAGGCAGCCTGTTACCCCTCTGTGTTTTAATCCATGGTTTGGGTTTCTAGTGGTAACTAAAACTTTGTACTTTCTACCCTGGCTGCTAAGGATACGTGAAGGAAAGGAGCTGTTCTAGCATGGCTTTGCCTAAGCCACACAGAATCTGCTGGAAATCAACTTGCCTGAGGAGCTCTGCCTGGCCTGGGGACACAGGGACTTATGTTCTCAGAAAGTCTCATCTGCCAAGTCTCACTGACTTTCGCCCTGATTTTTATAGACTTTATACTGTAAGAAAGTTGTAAAACTGAAAGATCAAAAAAGCACCCCACTGTAGAGAATAAAAATGAACCCAGAGAGATTAAAAGAGGGGGAGTGAGTTATCAAAATACATTTTAAAACAGAGAGAGAGAGAAAGCTTACAAGTCTCCTATTTATCTGGGCTGTGTAGGAAGCTTGCAGGACAGAAATGGGCTGCAGACACTAACATTTCTTCCTGCTCAAAAAGGAAGGCAAGAGTTTGAGAGGGAAGGAAGAATAAGATGTCATCAGACTGCTCTTCCACAGGCTGGAGTGTATTTTGACTGTATTATGTATCCCTGTTCCTAGACCCAGCAAGAGGAAGACAAGAGGCAACCCATCTAAGAAAGGAGGCATCTTCCATTTAACTGGATAGCGAAACAGAGGATTGACGGGTAAGATTTCAGAGGGAGACGTGACTTCAAAATCCTTGCTAAAAACTTTTAAAAATCAATTTGCTTGTAAGACAAAACAAGCACAGGGGTGCCCTTGGCTTGCCTCGGTCCAGAGCTACAGAAGGCTGCATGTTAATGTAGGACTTTTCTTTACCAAGCCAGCTCTCTGCAAACACACAATCCAGGTAGACGTTACACCTTAGAGCACCGCACGCAGAACAAAGCGATTCATTTTCGCTACCTATGCGCTCGAAGGACTAGACTGCAGGCTGTAATCTAGTGTTAAAACCCCAGTATCATCAGTTTTCTGAGCAAGAAACAAAACAGGCCAAATCCTGTAAACAACGCTGAGAACGTTTAAATATTGTAGAGTTTTAAGTGTAAGTTGGACGAGGTTGAGCTCAGGTCGATGGAGAACGGCTCCTAAAGGCTGCTTCCACACGCGCTGAGCACTGGTTTGTATGCGCCGGTGCGCGCACGAGTCTAAACAGCATGTTGAACATGAAGAGATTTAAATGCCATTTAGTGAATCTGGCTTTGTTCGCATTACTTTTTCTGAAGGTAAGACACAGACAGAGGAAAACCAATAAGTGTCTCTGAATCAAATCAGAGCTACTTTCCTGTAAATCCACAAAGAGAATATGCCAAAAAGTAAATGAGTATCAGCTGTGACTCTCCTACGTATAGGGAGACACACACACATACTGAACAGAGGATTTGTGCTAAGATTGACTATACTCTGTCTTCCAGTATTCCGAGCACATCGAGATAGAGACTCTGATTTTGTTGGAAGCTTTTCCAAATAGAAGCACGGTACTTTCACTTACTGCATGTCATTTAAATCTTGCAGAATACTAACAAATAGAGTCTTAGTTACGAAGACTCAACGTTCAACATATACAAGCATCACAGAATTTTATCTCGGGTAAGCTCAGGTATCTCACCAGAACCTGTTGCGAGGAGTTGAAAAAACAGTGTCAGTCTTAAGAAAACTCTAAACCTACATGTAATTACAAATGGGTTTTTAAATTAAGAGCTACTGTATTTTTTTGGTTAGCACTATTTACCCAGTGTTGACATTCTTTGTTTTATATGCACAAAACATTTAATGAAATATATTCCAAAGATCCAAAGAATTTATAGATATTGCAATTGTGCTACCAAGTACATTCAGCAGGGCACAGGGAGACAGAAGGGATGTATCTCTGCAAACAGCAGGCACACTTAGCGTGTCACTCTTTCAGATTCTTTGGGAATGATTCTGCTCTTCCAACGCCCCTTCTAACCCATCTCCCTTAAGTCTATAAATTTACTTCACTGTACTTCCAACTTCTGACTTAATATTGTTTTGCAAAAAAATTCCCCTTCCCTGAGAAGGAGAAGGACAGTGCCTATGTGCTGACCAGAGTCCATCAGAGCCAATGATAATTAGCTGCTGATTTCATCAGCCTTTGGCCTCAGAAATGCATCATTTTCCAGAAGGTGTTTGAAAACACTTTCTATTAATTATGTAGTAAAATGATGTAATTTAGTAAAACGATGTAATTTAATAGTATTATTTAGACTGTAGACTCTGACAGAAGTTTTTGTTCACAACACGAACTTGTGAAGAGACTTTGATTCTGTCTGAATTTTGAGAAAATTCCCAACACATTCAAATAATAACAATAGCTAACGATCAGCTTTTACTACGAGCGCACGTTTCCTGCCCGTACACCACTTTGGATAAAGCAGAGCCAGGTGCTGAGCCACGCGGGCACCCAGGGCTTGGACCGGCTGCCTGCAGTGCTGAGCCCGTCAGCGCCTCGCACTGACCCTTTGTCGTTTCAGTTATTCTCATTCCTCACACGCGTCTGACCGTATCGCACGGGCAGCGGGCCTGACACACGGACACGCTTCCCTCACCACCCACCTTCGCTCAAGGGCAGCTGCTCCCCATGCAGCGGGCACAGCCATGAATTCATCACTGCTCCCACTGCCAGCAAACGATCTGCCTCCGACCCACCTCCAGCCTTCTATTTTTGGGGCAGCCCACTCTAAACCTCGCCAAACACGAAATTGCTAAGGACTGTGCAAATTAACCACAGGCATCAGACTCTTGAAGTTCAACCAAATAAAACACTTGGGAGTCATGAACCAAAAATGACCGAAACCAGGTGGGTTTCGAACAGATTCAGACAAAAGCATCTACCAGCTCACAGTGCGCCAGGCAGCGCTGCCCCAAGGAGGGAGGTCTCAGGGTCAAATGCAGGCTGTTAACACGGCTCCATCCACCTTTACCTATTCTGATGTCGTGGTTTAACCTGGCTGGCAACTAAACACCACGCAGCTGCTCACTATTCCATTGGCCAATTTGTTCTAAGTTCAAATTCTAAAGGCAGCTGTGGGCCCTTTGCCTGGCCATGTACCCCCCAGCCTGTTGTGCTCCTGCACACTGGCAAAATGTGGGAAGCTGAAAGGTCCTTGATGTCTCAGCACCAACTATAAACATCAGTTCACTGTCGACATTCTTCTCATAACAAATCCCAGACTAAATCCAAAACACTGAGCTCTTCTAGCTACTAAAAAGAAACTAACTCTGTTCCAGCCAAAACCTGGACATCTGGTAACTGCAGGTCTCCCAAAAATGTTGCCAGCTGGCAGTTTGGGAGATGGAGGGTGCCTCAGCTTGCTGTGTAACAACAGCACAAGTAAGCAAGGGCTCTAGGTTCTTGCCTTCCCTTGCTCTTACGCCTCCTTCCTCGACCTGCCTGGCCAGCCTGTGCCATGGACCACCTCCCCTGCGGCTATTTGCCCACAGGGAAGTTTATCAAGACCACTAAGGCATTTCCCACAGCCCAGTTAACATCTGCAAGGGACAGTAACTTTGGAAATACTCCCCTATAGGTTCATTTCCCATAATACATGTATTCTTTGCAGGGTATTTTAAAGGCATGCATGCAAAAACCAAGAGCTCTGTTTTGCCCTTGTTAATTAAAGCACAGGTTAACAGCATCATCACCACCATTCCTTCTCCGCCGCCCAAGGACAGCCACCAAAGCTTTGGCCGCAGTGGTGGTGATCCCTTGTGAAATGGCATTTCTTGCCCGTAAAGCTGCTGCCTAAACACAAGCCACGTTATTTATTTCTGCTGCCATCCACCTATCTGTCCAGTTATCTTCTTTTGTTTCATATGTTTAATTTTAAACCTAATGTCAAAACTCTGAGTATAAAATGAAATACATTTTGTTTAAAATACTCTGGGCAATTTTTATAGAACATCCTTTTGAAAAAAAAAAAGTGCAGAGATCAATTTTTTTAAGTCCATCCCGCAGGCACCATCATTTAATTATGAGTGAGACATAAATTATGCATTTACACATTGTTGCATTTTCTATAAAATGGTGTGGAGATTTTTTTTTGTAGTTTTTGGAACTCTCTCTTTCTTCCTGGGGGCGCTTTAGAGAAAAAAAAAAACTTGCTGCAGGCTATACATTGATGAAAAAATTAGCATTTATCAGTATAACACCATTATGAGACCAGCATGGCACTAACATACACAAAATCTAAATCTATTTTTCTGCTTAGACTTAGGAAAACCTGAAAGACTGTGATCTCACCAGGCAGAAAATGTCTCCTTGCAGTATAAGCACTGAAGGTAATTGGGCAGAAGCAAATAATTTGCATATAATTGAACAAGAAATAATAAAAAAACCACCCCAGCAAATAGATGAGCCAGCACCAAAACGCCATTACCTGCACTGAATTCAACCGGCAGTATCCGTTCAAAGGAAACCTAATAACGTGGGTAGGGTCCTGGTTCCAGCCTGCGTTTACAGAGTTGCACATGACGTCCCCGGTCTCTGGGAAGATCTCTTCTATTAGAGCTTTCTCCCCACTCAATGCAATTCTTTCCCCCAGATCTGGAGTCACTCTTACAACCAAGCAGTCACAAGGCTGGAAATGTTTCCTTTGTTCTTTCTCTTGTTTCCATCGCTCAAGTTCCTTAATCATTGGCTGCAGCTGGTAATACTTTGCTTCTTCATATAAAAGATTAAAGTCCTGGGAGGAAAAAAAAAAAAGAGAGAAGGAGAGAGAGAAACTAGAAATGCTTATAGTTCTCTTTTAAAAATGAGTATTGTTCCTGTTTGACCTACTTAAGCTTATGTATTGTCAGCAAGAGCGCAAAGGCAACAGGTACCCACATACTTTTGTCTTCGTCTTACACCTACACAGAAAACCACACTGTGTTAGTGTTGAATCTGTCTGAGCTGACCGTGATGTTCCCACTGCACTGAATTATTCTTTCATTTATTATCCCACAAGCTCAATGCCAGAAGGCTTTACTTTTGGATTAAGAAATCAAAATAACTGGTTGCAATAAAGCCTGCTGATGTAAGAGAAGATGTCCTGAGCCCTAATCTTCACTCTTGGCCTCAGATATTCGCTTCTGATCTTACAACAGGAGATCTCGGGCTTCGCTGTCACCTCTCGCACACATGTTACGAGACGGAGATGTCAGTTCAGCTTCACTTCTCACCTGTTTTTGCTGAGTCTGAAATTCAGCTGCGGCAGCTCAGCTGCTTCCTGCATTTCATGATTATTCATGTACTTAAAGCGTACTTTGGAGCCTGGTAAATTACACCAAGGCAGTGACCATCCGCTGGCTGGGAGCTCAGATGCGCACTGCAACACCTTAAAAGAAACAGTTCTTCCTAGCCTTTTGTCCATCACCTCACTCTGGCCTTGGGCAACTGAAATTCCCAATTTAATCCAATTCCCAGTTCATTGATTGAGATGTCTTCTGCACATCCTCATTAATAACTTTTCATCAGATTTCCAACAGATCTTCCCACTTCAGCTTAAATGCACAAGAGTACATTGAGGCAAAGAGTGTCAGCAGCCCCCAGACCCGAGGAGGCAGCAGTGCCCACCAGACCAAGCCAGAGAAGAAAGAAGAGGGGAAGCACCCAGGAACCGTTTGCTTACACCAGTCCCACCACCTCCAACAAGAGCACAGCACCAGCTCCTCTCTCCAAAGACCTGCCGTTTGCGTTCCTGGCTCTCAAGCCTGTTTACAGACAGAAACGCCGCACTGCAGGTATGCTGTGTGATGTCTGTGGGGTACGCTGTAGGTCAACACCTGGACAGAAAGGCTGGAAAGAAGGGCCTGATAAGGAGTAATCTAGAAACAGACACCAAAATTACATGAAAAACAATGGCAGCGCTGCTGCTCCAGGACGAGGGGGAATTAAAGGCCAGCGAACATGTAGTACAAAAAGATGCGACTCTTCGTAACGGCTCAGAATTAACCTGTAAAATCTGCTGCTGCAGGATATTAGTGAACCAAAGCAGTTAGTTGTGTTCAAATCTGGCACCACGGACCCACTGCCGGTAGTGGGGAGGTGCTCCTTCACCCCAAGGCTGCCTACAGCCTGGAGATGTATGAATATTCACAGTGACACCGGCAAGGTTATCGTGATAAAAAAGGGACATCCGATCTTTTGCATCTCTTTGATGTCTGTTAAGGCTGGGACAATACACACGCACACTGCTAAGGGAGAAAAAAGGACGGGCGCAGGCGCAGAGAGGAAAGAGAGTTAAGAGCAAGTGGGATGAAATGAGGGCAACAAACAGGCTCGCAGGAAGGAGCTGGAAGATGAAAAACAACAGGAAGATTAAAGAAGAAATCCTATAGAAAGCATGCTGCAAACAACTGAAATTGGCAACAGGCCAGTCAGAGAGGCGTGGAGACTGGCTGCGTAACCTGGGCTCAGGTAAGAGCATC